AAAATATCTCAATAAATTGGCAAAATTCACTCACCATCCACAACCGTCTCGGTCGAGTTGGCCGCAGAAGTCTCCAACGAGCCCGCTCTGCCGTTTTGCTTGCGTTGCGCGTACTTCTCGCTGCGCATATACTCCTTGTGCAGTGAGGTCATCTTCAAGCCCGTCAAATCCGACTTTTGTCGCTTGATTATCGCCTCGCGTGTTGGCACATTTGGCGCGCGTGCGGAGCTTGCGCCATTCGCAGCGCTGGCAGCGGGCGCAGCCGCAGTATTCTTGCGTTGCGTTGGTAGGGAATTCACCTTGGCCTTGGCATTCTTTATTTCGGGACGCGTCGCGCATTTCACCGGCTTGTCTACACACTTTTGCGCCTTCAGCGCTTTGGTTTGCTTGGCGCTTGGCTGCGTCTTATTTGTGACGTTATTGTTTTCCTGCGTGGCGCCTTTCTTAATGGCTACTTTTTTGCTCCTTTGATGCTCTTCACTTTCGGCCAACTGTTCATTGAATAGCGCTAGTGTTGGAAGACTGGCATAACCTGTGGGTTGATTAAACCGATTGGCCCAATGCATGCTGGAGCGACGACGATTCTTCACCGTCAGCCAGCCGTCGTTGGCGTCGGAGGGCAGCTGCTTCGGCTCCGAACGACGTTCGTCGATGTGTACTATTGCGCCCGTTGCATGTGATAAGCTGCTTCTGGAGGATGATATGAGTTCAGTGCTGGCTTTGAGCGTGGAGCTTGAGCTGCCGATATCTTCGCGTGAGGATTTGCGCGATGAGACTGTTGTCTGTGAATACCGTTGTGTAGGATGGCCGGTGCGGGGCTTTTGCTCTTTAGGTTGCATTTCAATCATGGTGCGTGAACGCGCGGACAGCCTAGAAGCGACATGTGTTGGTGGTCCGTAATGTTCAGTTTTACTAGATGGACGTGGTGTTATATAACGTGCGCTGGCACCGCCTGCTGATAAACGTGACGCCGCCGGTTTTGTCACCGAAGCGGTGGTAGCGGAACGGCGCAGACAGGTGTTGGGTAGAGTTTTCTGCGTTGGCACCGCTTTATTCACAGCCGTTGCGTTGGCCAAAGGACGTATGGCGCCCGCTGGCTTTGTTGGATTTGAATTTGTTGGACGCGTTGTAGCTGGACGATTCAAAACACTGGAATATTTAAGTGGACCATTTTGTGCCGTTGCAGTTGTGGCTGGTTTCTTCGAAGTGTCTGCTGTAACAAGAGTCGCTTTAACGTCAACTATGGGTTCTGCTTTTCGTAGTTCAGTCGTAGGCGGTGTAGGCATTTTATTGGCATCTTTTGCTAGAATTTCATTTTCCATTTGATTTAGCTTTTGTACAGTCATCTCTAAAGCGGTTGGTTCGCGATTCATTGCGAAATGTGGATCATCTGCATCGGTGCCACTGGAATCATTGCCATTTAAAGTAACGTTAGCCCCTTTGCTAGTGGTATCAATAGTCGTTTCCACGTTTGAATCAACTATTTGCACCAGTTTCTCATTTTCCTGTTTTACTTTATCTTCCTCGTGCTGCATTTGTTGTTGCTCCAGCATGTTTTGCTCCGCCAATTGCTGGTCACGTTCACGCTGCTTTTCATATTGTTGACGCTGTCTTTCAAACTCTTCCTGCTGTCGCAAGCGCTCTTGCTCAGCCTCTTCAGCCATTTGTCGTTCTTCCGCTTCTCTTTGTAGTTTTATTCGTATATCTGCCAAAGTCAAATGATCATCTTCTAGATCAGTTTGTGCATACTGATGGCACCTATTAAGCAATTTCATTGGCTCGGCTTCCACATGTATCTCTGGCTGAGTGTCTATGCATTTCTTTTGTTCTATAACTTCTGTTGGACGCTCATTACTGGCTCTGCCTTTGTTTGTGGCAAACAACTCACGCACATTCACACGCATAGCACCTTTTGGTAGGGGATCACAGGCACGTAAGCTTTTTCGTGGTGATGCAGTGTCGCCACAACATGGTGACGACTTTCCCGACGCACATGCACAGGCAGATGGGCTTGATTTACCCGACATTGTAGGGCTGGTCAAACTTTTAGCGCGTACACGTGGTGCAGGATTACTCTTACGCACTTCCCATGCAAGTGATTGTGGTCTTTGCTGCAAAGGTCGTGATTCGTAATCCCAAGAAACTTTGAACCACTCACTAAGCGATTTAAAGTCGCGCACATAATTCTCAAGCACTAAAATCGCCTCCTGGCACCATGATATATTCTCACAGCACTCCACTGTCTGATAGATTTCGTTGACAGCACGTTGTAAATTGCCAAATAGCAGCGCCCAATAACGTGCTTGTAATTCCGATTTTTTGTCTCGACCCGTAGAAGCACTACGCACACGTGGTCCTGTATTTTGCATTTTTGTAGTTCGTATTGGCGACAATGCATTCTTTAGCGAATTTGGTGACTTTGACGGTGCGACGGGTGGCTTGCGTACATTTAAGGACGGCGAAATTTCTGTTTCGCAGTAATAGACAACGAAAATCAATAAATTAGCTTAGAAATACATTATTACATTAAATACTCACTACCAGTAATGCCTTGAGAGCCATCCGTTGGTACTTGATCCTCACAAAATTGGTAGACAAGCAAATTCTTGGCATCGCGCCCCTCACGATTTAACACCTCTTTGACTTCCATAGCTCAGCAAAATGCTTTGTTCAATTGGCGTATTTGTGTGTGCAGCTGTGATTTCACTGGCTTCATCCGCTGCCGCTAAGCCGCCCACACAACACACCTGTGCAATATTCACCAAGTTCTTACTAAATTACTGCTAAAAATCAACTAATCTTTATAGTATAACACTAAAGGGCGTTATAATTTCCTCAGAAAACACAGTTGGTATGAAATTAAACACGCTTAGGGAGTGCACACACCCCACGAAGGCGAGATTCCTTACGGTTCTTAGCTTGTGTGTAAGTAAATGTTGCTGTTCTTTACCGTTTTTTTCTTTAATACAACCTTATAATTTCTGCGCTTATTGCGCAATTATATTTCCTACTATGATTAATTTAACACAATTCTTTCATGCTCTACATCATTATTTATTCGATTATATGTAATATGAACACGATTTATGTTTAATTAGAAATTCAAGTTGGAAAAACAAACACCATTCAAAAATTTGCACACAATTCTGATGTTCGACTCATATGCCGTTGTTCACGATGTTTTTTTCTCTCTTATTGTGTTTTTTGGCATTTGACAAGTTTGTTTGGTAGTGTGCGCGTGTATGTGTTATATACAAAACTACAGCTGACTGAAGGGTTGCTGTGCCCTTTTTTAGTATTAGATGCCAATTTACGATATCGCAAATAAAAATAATAACATAAAAATGATTTTAAAACCATGATCTTATATTTCTAAATATATACTATTTCTGTATATATACATATATTGCCGTCTTTCTTCTAAAATAAGATTGTAGTTTCTGCAAAAAAATAATACTCTTCTCCTTTTGTATAATATTGTTGAGATATTCCAGCTATTTATATCTGAGACTTTTTGTTAATTTCGGTAAATTTTCTCTAAAACATTGATATCTTATTTATACGCGCTTAATTTATAAGTATGTAATATATAAAAAATTATGTTTTATCACGTAAAAACTAAAACATATGATTTACACTAGAAATGTTAGATCGTAAGTTTTGTTTACGTGCTCAGTTGTGTTTTGTTAACATGGTTTTCTTTGCATACATGCAACCCTGCAGCAGTTTGACATTTCATAAAGCAAGTGCAAAAGAGGGAAAGCAAAATTTTCACACACACATTCCGTTAGTCACTCACGAAAAGAAAAGACGTGGATATTATTTGCATTGTAATAGAGATTTTCCACTTTGGGGAAAATCTTTAAACAGAATCACGGCCAACAAACAATTGTTTATATAGTTTCAATTTTTGTTGGATAGAAAACTAAATAGTGAAAACAAGTGTGCACTAAGCTATGATCTTACCCTGCTAAAGGGGTGGTTAAAAAACCGTGAACACACCAGGTGTAGAAAGAAGTTGGAGGTGTAGTGCGGTGTTGTGTAGTGAAAAGGCGCTCCGTCGTGATGTCACTACTTCACATTTTTCGTTAATTGGATCGCTTTTTGTCAGTGGTGTGCCTTTAAAGCAGCGGACGCTAACGTTTCCATATATTTCTGATTTTGTTGTGTAGTAGCAAATTAATCTACTTTCGCGCATATTTATGCAAACACAAAGCTAAGTCTTTTTATTAATTTAGCTGATGGAAGTGCATTGTAGCAATTCAATTTAATTTAATAATTGAGTACAATTTATCAATTAAGTTGTGAGATCGAGGTGACAGTTTTTATACATCATCCATTCCACATCAGTAATTTGCGACGACGTGTATAAAAAAGTTGGTAAATATAGAAAATAAAAGCACGTAACGAAATTTTAACGATAAAGCATGATACCAAAGAAAGAGTTGTGCTAAAAGCGATAACGACTTCATAGAAGGAAGTGTGGAGTTAAGCAGTAGAATTCACAAAATATACATACGTCCAAGAAGCAAAGTGTAAGAGCAAAGTGAAATTTTATTATTTGGTTTAACTTAACCAAAGATACGACTAACACGAGTTAGCAACACGAAAAGCAACATTTTCACAACATACACGTCCCTCCAAAATCAACGATTCGTAACGCTATACAGGCGATCACAACACGATTCCGCCCACAACAACCTGCCACGCCCACTGTTGAATAACTAGCCGCCGTATTACAAACACAAAACGGCCGCCGTCCAGTGCAGGAAAGAACACAACAGAAACACAAAGAAACCTAGATTCGAGAATTGCAAAGTCCCACCGCTGTGGCATAACGACATTCGGTGAACTTCCTCCCAAACCGTCATACAACTTACAAACACGAAAATATTCACGTCTCTCATTGTCCACATAATCCCCCCATTCATCCCCTCCAAAAATAAAACACCCGTCCATTACAAAACTATTACACAAACACACCACAAAACGGCTGCAATATGTCCGAACTGGAAAATACGGCAACAGCCGGCAAAACTATTGAGGAGTTGCATTTGGAAGTAGAGCGACTGTCGCGCGAACTAGATCAGGCAGCTAGCGAACGCGCACAATCGGCACAATATGGTCTCTCATTATTGGAGGAGAAATTGTCACTTGAACAGAAGTGTGAGGAATTGGAGACACTGTACGATCATGCCAAACACGACTTGGACATTACACAAGAAGTAAGTTTTGAAGATTATATTCAATAATAATTGTTTATTAATATATTTTTGAATTCTTTTAATAAAATGTAAAAAATAAGCGATTTCGTAAACAAAATTGTATAGTATTGAACAGTGTTATGGCCTAAGGCAACTGTACAATTTCTGATTAAGTTGGCCACATTGACCGCTATAATATCCACCTCCTATACAAACTAAGCGTTCAAAGTCAAGTTTGAAATAGAAACTTTGTATTTTGTGGACGGTATTGTAGCTGCGGACGATTTAACGATATTTTTTTTTATGGAAATATAAGATACGCAACTAGTTTCTATTTTGCTAATTGCTGTTGAACTTCCTTTGTAATGTCAATAAACATTCACTTCCAATAATTAGTTTCTTATCGCACGGAGCATCATTCCTTGTCTTTAAATTTACTAGATTACTAGAAGTACGTTAGCGAAAGTCTACCAATTTTAGCGTTCTCAACGCTATGCACTCGGCAACAAGTAAGTAAACAGTTGGTTAAACAAAAAATCAGCTAAAAAGGTACATATGCGAAAAAGTGATTTGTATGCTTCACCAACTCACTAAGCTTCGCTCGCCACCACTCACTGGTATGTGATAGTTATTTTGTATGCTCTTTTTGTTTAACCTCGTTCGTTCGGTTATGTTTTAAATTATTTGATTTTTCTCTTTGCCGCTGCAGGTTCGTAAAACACGTAATCAGCTAAAAAAAAATCCATTGGCTATTTGTTAACTGCTTTCAGTTATTGAGCAAAACCAAAAAATTTGCATATTTAAATGGAATTTATACAGATATTGCAATTACAAAACTTATATAAAAAACTCTAATAATATTACTTATCATATCTGTGCAAAAATTGGTCACGTGGTCAAATTTGCGGTAAGAAAGAAAGTAGATTTGTGTTTAGTCTCTCAGATTCTCGCTAACCGTATAACTATACAGTAAGCCTTCAATTACAAACAGCGCACTACTGCTTCCATCCAAAGAATTCCTAAAGACGTCAATGCGTTGTGCAAGGACACATCCACACCCTTCGCGCTTTATGGTCATAAATTTGATTTGGCTTCTAACTAAATTACAAATTAACTTGCGCCTCTCGCTGCCTGCCACCATCGTCATGATGTCCTTATTTAGGCCGGTATTGGCATCATTATTTACCTGCCTGCTACTTTGCCTGGTTAGCAGCTAGCTAGCCGGTTGATGGTTAGTAGATGCAACAACTTGTGCCCGGGGAATGTAATCCAAAAGCAACAAAAGCTATCAAACAGGCATACCATTATATATATAGTATAGCACTTGCATTGCAACGTTTGCGGATCTGTTAATTGCTTTTCTACTTCGTTTTAAAATGGCTAGGGGGTGTTGGGGGTGGGCGTTATGTGCTCAGGGACTACGCCAACGCAGCATTTTTTCACAAGTTTTGTTTTTGTTGTAAGTTTGTTTAAGTATATATGTACATACGTATATGTGTGTCGGTTTCTTGTGCTCAGTATGCCGTCATGGTCGTTAATAAATGCTGTAATGTTTCCAATTTCGGTTATGTGTGCAATTGTAAACTTTTTATACGCTCGTTCTGTTCGACAAAATTCCTCCGGTTCGCATTAAACTGCAATTACAAACTAGTTTCATATTTTTTGGTGCTCACAGCTCGCACATATGTACATATATTGATTTTTAGCCAGTGGGAGTTAATTTTTTGAGTGATGTGGAATATTTATTTTAAAATGTATTATATTTAGACCAATAATTTTTAGCAAGAAGTGAGATTTCACAATTACAAAGCATTTTTATCGCAAAATCGTCTGTCGGACGATATGGACTATATTTTATTGACAGCACGCTAATTATCTTGGCAAATAAATTTAGTGTATGTAAGCCACCAATTTTTGATTGTACTTGTAGCTGCGCAAAATGCGATAGAAATTTGGTAATAGAATTATCTAAAAATGCTGTATTATAGCTACCAGAGTACCTCTTTGGACGTGAAGGGAGCAGAGGTTTAGTTGGGAATAATGATACAACCTCTGGTAAATCCACACAAGCAAATAAAATGGATGTTGAATCTGAACTCAACCTCTCCAACGGCGTGAGTAAGCTTTGGACTACTGTCAAGACTGTGTCTAACCCGAAGAGACATGATAACGTAGTTGCATTCAATTCAATGACCATGCCTCTTCGGACCCTAAGAAGAGCGCGAGCTATTTGTACTACACCCTTCGGTAGACATAGCCAAACGAGAAGGTTCGGAGTGTCATCAACATCCCGCTGACCACTCTACAGTTACCCGATGTATGGAAAATCGGAAGAGTGGTCCCATTACCGAAGCCTAAAAAACCCGCTAACAAAGCAGAGTCCTATCGTCCCATAACACTCCTCTACCCAGTAGTGAAGACACTTGAGGCCTTACTACTCTTGATATTCACTCATTACCCGTGTCTAGCAAACCACCAGCATGGATTCCGAAAAATGCACAACACCACTACTTATCAAAAGCCTTTGACACAGTTAGTCAACCACGCAACAGTACTCGAGAGCCTTGAAAAATCTAAGGTCCCTCCAGGGTTGCAGAGATGAACTATCTGAGCGGTCGACAGTCATCCGTACTGTTTCGAGGTAAAAACTCTAAATTGAAAAGAATTAAACTGCAAGTTCCGTAGGCTGGTGTCCTCTGCCCATTGCTGTTTAACTTCTACATCTCAAAACTCCCTCAATTAAGGAATGCACAGAACGTAACACTCTCCCCCACTAAATCCATCAACCACATTTACAAACTATACAAAGGTATACAAACTGTCAATAATCCTAAGATTTAAGGTGTGACACTCGACACTGTGCTTTTTCACTCCTCACACGTCCGTACAGAGACGAAAGGATTTCCTCAAGTCGGTAGCCGGCAACATACGGGGAAAAGATAAAGAAACGTTGTCCGGATGCTTTTTGACGACTCTTATCGTACATCAAGACAGTGAGACCTGTATGGTCCCAATTAAGGAGCATAAAGAACTTCTCTCTCAGTAGTTTCTTGTGGGGGGTGAGGATTAATTCAATTCAGTTGCAATCACTTAACCGTAGGCCCAGGAAACGGATATGAAATTGCTACAACAGCCTGTTCTACGATATCGGAATTGGTCCGGATTTTATTCAACCAAGGGCTGTTATTTAGAGGATCTAGCCCTTCTTTGATCGATATACAATATAACAAGTAAGTTTACATCTCTTTCATACCTGATAACAAAGAAAATATGGCCCACGTATTACAAGACTTAATCTAAGGACTTATTCAAGGTCCAGGAATAGTATTTAACGACTTACTGCTACTAAAATAGGTCTTTAGAAGAGCTTGCTCTAAGAAATGGTCTGGTCTGATATCAATATTTGCCGTAGCTGTGTATGTTTTAGAGGTATAGAACTTCCTAGATGAAAATCGGCCAAACCACTGTAACACAATTTAAGTTAGGCTAGGTGTCACTCCATACATAGACTTGCAGATCCATAGTAATACAAGATGGAGGTTCAGTTTGAGCTGAAGTTTACGTCAATCAGTCTTTTGCAAATTTTAATGGAGGCTTGATATCTAATCTGATACTTCACCTAGTCCTTTAAGCGGGCCTGGTTTAGAGGTTTAAAAAAATCGATTTTTTTGAAATTTTTTTTGTGAAGGAAAGAAATAAGTGATTAAAGCAAAACTTCTTCTAGGGTTTATAGTTATATGTATATTTAAACATCATTCACAATTTTTTTTGGATATTCCGAAAAACCGAGAAATCGCGCGTCAAAGTTTTCGCTTTCTGCCCAATCGCTCATATGTATATCTGCTAGACGTTATACTATATACTATATATATGTCTACTGATATTCATTATGTCGTTTCCCATGTTGTTACGTAAGTATCTTAGCCGCTTTCCTGACAGTAAAGATTTCTGCCTGAAAGTTGCTGCAGTATTCTGGTAGCTTGAATAGATTCTGGCGCCCACTCCATCAGTCACTTTTGATGTGTTTGTGTATATATTGCGAGCTCCGTTGGTGGATCCCGTGCTCCTGCGTCGTCTTTTTATACCCTGAGCTGTTTGTATTAAGCTTATCTGTATGTATATTTACTAATTATTTCCAAGGTTTTTGAGATATCGATCTGAAATTTCGCAACTGTTCTTTTCTCACCTGGAACCTGGTCATTTGTCGGAACTGTTGATATTGAACCACTTTAGCATATAGCTGCCATACAAGCTGAATGATCGGATTCCTGGGATTGTATGGAAAACTTTTATATTTGAGGAGATATTTACATATTTTCACGAAATTGAGAATAGATTATTGCCTAAGGCAATGGTGTAATTTCCGAAGAATTTTTTCAGATCGGATCACTATATCATTTAGCTGCCATACAAATAGAACAATATATTAGGTTGTCAAAAAAGTCTTGCGGCATTTTCGCTAGTTGGCGCTGAGAGCGCGTAGTTCTAGTTTTATTCGTCGCATCGGGTCATGCTATACCTTTTTGGAAAGCTCATTTCACGCGCTAACACGTGTTTGATCGTTGTCGTTTCTTTTAAGTCGTTCGTGAGTTATAGCGTCGCAAACATGGAGCAAAATAAAGTGAAAATACAGCATATTTTACAGTACTACTACGATAAAGGCATCTCAAGCCGCCAATAAAATTTGTGCAGTTTATGGACCCGATACAGTTTCCATTTCCACCGCACAACGATGGTTTCAACGCTTTCGTTCTGGTGTAGAGTTGGTCGAAGATGCGTCACGCTCCGGAAGGCCTGTCGTCGAAAATTGCGATAAAATCGCTGAATTGGTCGAAAGAGGCCGGCATAGTAGCAGCCGTAGCATCCGTCAAGAGCTGGGCATGAGTCATCAAAAAAGATTTTAGGAACAATTGAAAATTCAATAAAAATACCGCAAGACTTTTTTGGCAACCTAATATTTGCAAAAAATGCTTTTAATTTTCCAAATTCGCAAGTGACTATAACCCCTAATAAAAACCCTT